TATTTTCTCCGGACACAACGATGTCCTGTTATAGTTATTTAACTCAGTTAAGCTCACTTTAGAGGTCTCTTCTTGATTTCCAATTGTTCCTCTTATGATCTTGCGATTTCTTTTACTCAAATTGAAAATATTTCCTTTATTTAGCCGTCTTCCTGTTAATCTTGCTGTTCCCTGATCTGGTCCGTGGTAGTAAAGGCTTGAGACAGAGTGTATAACATGACGCCTCGAGTAACATTTATATGGGAACAATGATGGCGTGAAATTACTGACCAGACAAATAAGGGACGGAGCAAGAGGGATACTCTGATTGGATCAGGATGAAGATGATTGTGGACTAAACTTTAGTCTTGGGTCGACACTCCCAGCATAGGGGGGGTTGGAAGCAGCGGAGAGTGTGAGTATGTTTCATTATATCGGCTTAAAAGGGCACAGCTCAACTGGGTTTAGATAAGCGAGTAAGAAATTGAAATAGTGAAGAGGTGTTACTAGGATACAGGATAGATGAATACACCAGGACAGAAGAAGAGGTACCACAATTGTTTAGCACACAATTTGTCAAGGGATTCTCTTCACTCTGACGATTTCTAATGTGGTGCTAGCAATAGCAAGGCTCACTGGCGATTCCGGCGAAGCGTCTGGGAATGTACAAAATCCACGGTCCAACTAGAAATTATCATGCATATTCTTCACTTCGGTAAGGTGCGTTCCTCTAGGTCTTCTTGCCAACATGACCAGACGGCGAAAACAAGATAAAAAACTTCCATATAACGAAAGGTGATAAGCCTCCAGATAAAAAGAGACGACTAAGCTAGTATTTCGTATCTTGGTTGTAATTAGAGACACTTTTTTATGAATCTTTGTCCACTCTTTCTCTTTTTCACGAAGGCAAAATGCTCATAAACTTAAGAAGACCTGTGTCTGGCTTTACGCAATTGGATTGATGATTAAAATATAAAGATAAAAATAGTTGTTGGTGATCATCAAACCTTTATGCACGAGAATAGACTGCACGTTATATTCTAATTACTTTGAGCTATCACTGCTGGTTTCGTACCTATACAACCACATGGAGGCACATAAATTCATACAAATAGACACATGCACGTGGTATATTACTTTATACGATATTTAGGGATAAACTATCGAGTTTTTCTACCTCTTTAGCTTGAATATGTTTGTAAGAATGATTACCTACTCTGATGATGTCCGGTATATGACAAAGGAAAGCTTTGCACATTTTCTTCGAAGTCTAATGATATTTCCTTGGAAGCAGCGTCAACGAGAATGTTCCAGCAAAGTCAATCAACAGTTCATCAAGAGTTAGACATCGTCTTCTAGTGGAATCGACCTTTCAATCTACTCACTTTCCATCGAAATTGAAGTGGGCTCAACGATAATATTACCTTAGATCGAGTAGTGTTAAAGCTATCAGTAAATATTTTATTTGAACTGTAGTCACCTTAGTCCAGAGCTGTAGTCAAGTCTTATTTGAGGCAAAACCTAATGGGATTCATTGGAGGGATCGAATATCAGAAATATAATCTTAAGCAACTTAAGGTTTCCCCAGTTTTAAAATTTCGTTTGGGTTTGCCAAAGCATAACTTTGACGGTTCGAGTCAGCACGTTATATTACTTTTACTTTCCGATTTGTATGTCCATTTATTAGCTATTATTCGTTCTAAGAGCTCTGATTTTACATGAACTTATTCATTGATGCTCTGATTCTGAATACAAACCGAATGTTCTGAGCAAAGTTTCATACAGCCATTTGCTAATTGGCTTGAGTTGAAATACTTTGGTGATTTCGAGTCCTGCCGAGTTCTTGCATTGTCGATTTTCATTTTGACAGATTACAACCAGGCCTGCGACTGGTGGTCTGTAGGAGTGATTCTTTACGAGATGCTGGTTGGTCAACCTCCGTTCCTTGCGCAGACAGCTATGGACACTCAGCTACGCGTCGTCCAATGGTACAAGTATCTACGTTTGCCCGGGGAACCACATCTGCGCACTCCAGCAGCCGACTTGATCCGTCGGTTTCTATGTGACCCCGAGGAGCGTCTTAGCGATCCAAACCAAATCAAGGCGCATCCCTTTTTTGCTCCTTTGCCCTGGGACCAGTTTTCTAATTTCCAGGCACCTTACATCCCACTGGTGGGTAGTCCGCATTTGGGTACTTTACATTGCCCATTTCTTCTATATCCATGCAATTTCGTCAATGTTTGTTTTGCAAACTATCGCAACAAAATAGAAGTGGTTCTATCTAGTTTTTGCAACATGTTCACGTTTTCAGGGAGACCTAGATGAACGCAACTTGTTCGGAGTCTTCCGTCTCACTATTTGTAATGAATTCTAGTGTCAAACCGTGAAGCTGATGCATTCCTAAGGCTTATATAGCCTCGAGTCCAGATGGAAGATCATACTACACACGACTTGAATATTGCATAAATACAACACCCAATACCTCGTATCTAAATATGCGTCTGCATTTGATGATCATAAGCTGATTGATTTATGTAAGGAAACAGCTATGACTTCATCCACTACTTTTGCATTAACTAATTTCCTAAATCTCCAGGCCTCTGAGGAACGCATAAAGTAACCAGCCAAGGATTCACAGGATGCTTTAGTAAAATCACAAAATTAAGTTTAAGAAGTAAGCATACTTTTTGCCGGCTATTTTTTGTGTTGGTCCGACCTTGTTTTCGCAACTTGGTCGGAGCGTCAGAACGACCTTGTGAAGCATGCCTAGTCCCGTGTCCTCTATCATAATATTCATGATTTTCAGCATTGGGCCATTGGTTGGGTACATTCTCAAACGTTTCGCCGGCATCGTCAATGAGAGGCGCCGTCATAAGCACAATTACAACTTATCAGCTCTCACTGACGATGCCGGTGAAGCGTTTGGACATGTATTCAGACAATGTTTTAATGCTGGAAATCACGAATACTATGGCAGAGGACACGGGACTAAATACGTTCTACAAGGTATCCTCGACGCTCCGACCAAGTTGCAAAACGAGGTCTAACCAACACTATAAAGGTAAAGGAGACTGCGACCAAACAGAAGACCACACCATCTTGGTCTTCATATTTACGATTAAAGTGTTTTCATAGCGACAAGTGTCGGTATTAGGATAATATACACCATTTTATACTTTCAGATTCGCAACGAACTGGACACATCTAATTTTGACCCAGTAGAAGACGATCGAAGCCAGTTGAGTGGTGATGAAGCCTCATGTCTTCCTGGTGGCGGAGCTAGTGGATGTGATGACTGTGCCAGTGGTAGCCGACTAGGGAGGGGTGGTGCTGGGGTTGGGGTCAGCACTGGTGGCACCGGGGGTTTCTGTGGTGGCGGCGGTCGTCATGGTAGCGGAAACAAGAATAGCAGTGGCTGTGGAGTCAGCTCGAGTGGGCTTGGCGGAGCTGCCCCATTACCTTTTCCCAATTTCACTTTCAAACGCTTTTTTGACCGGGATCCTACACCCCAACATACACCTTCCAATTGAACAGTCACTCGTCTCTTTTATTTGGGTTCCTATTCAAGCTAAGCTAGATATGTAGCAATGTGATGAAGAAGAAATTCTTCTGTTCTCGTAGGTGCCGAACACTCCTTAGGCTTTCACTTATGTCTTTCTGTATCCTCATGACAATCTTTGCAGTCATGGTTGCCTGTTTTGTCATTGCAAAATACCAAATATCTTATTCTAGTTGGGGATAAGAGTTGGCCGGTTTTTACGGCTGAATAATGGCGTTCTGTACACTGCACATTTCATAACATTTCTTGCTTTACATCTCTGCTCCACTTATTGGTTGAGCCTAAAAGCGCCGTGACTCAAAATATACAATCAGTAAACTAGGAAATTAGAGTTAACTTGCAGAAGCTGCACACTTACATAGGCGGCTAATTTATTTGTCTTTCGAAATAATCCTAACCAGGACTGAGCTAGACCGCTTATTTGGTTATCAGTAGTCATGCTAATTATTCTTTATAAAATGAGATAGCCTTGTTTGACTCATGAAAGCCGTGAAGGCATTACGTTTCGTCCTCTCTTTCGATGTAACCAATGCTGAGAACCGCTTAAAAGCGTTTTCTGCATTCCCATACCTTCATTTTTATCCATGCTATTTATCTAGATAGTCTATATTGCTATGGAAATAAAAATGTAAATTGAAAATTTGTCACATCCTGTGCTTTAGTCCGCTACCTTAATTTGCTGTTTTCGTCTCCCAAAAGGCTCACTTAATGTTTCATATGGCTGCCTCATCTCACAATTAGATTTGTGTCAAGAGAGAAGCGCTTTCAACTGCAATTGCAATCACGCCTTATCTGAATTGTACAAAGTTCATTTTTAACATTTTGTGGCCTATGTTCTTTTCTGGTCCACTATTTGCACAGCGATTAGTTCCGTTCTCCTGCTCTGCATTTGTATCAATGCCAAGATCTCATTTTTCCACCCTTTTCTCTGTTAACTTTTTTAACAGTCGCGAAAGCTTGCCAGATCAGAAATGCGCATCATGATAACATGCTCACGACCTCATCAGATGATGACCATCAACTTTGTTCGAATTGCAATCCTTTAGATAAATGAGCATTTTCGATAACAGAAAATAATGTTACTAGATCTTTTTTTTGCATGACCGCCATTGGAGTATCCTCATTCATTTTCTGCCGCTATAGCAACAATTATCTCCCTGATCTTGACTAAAATGTCGCTATCTTAAAATTTTAGTGGCCACCAACTAAATTTATCTGTCAATAATCCTATTTGAAGTTTAGTGATGATGGAATGTGACTTTATATAACTTTAATATTCTATGGGTTTATGTTCATGCATTTCGCAGCACCGAGACTGTCCAGCTGCTCTTGGAATATGATGGCCTTTGTGTTGCAAATATGCATGCAACAATTAAGACGTCAGGCTTGGAGAACAGCTCTTTCAATATTCGATGCATCTGTCCCCATAGTCACTTCAAAATCCAACTGTCCCTTGGGTAAAATATGACAGAGGTCAGGTGTCACCATTTCGTCCTAGAAACAAGTAGTCAAGTGCATTAATTTTGCATAATGCTTGGAATGAGATAGAATGATCTATGCTTTGGCGGGAAGTAACTGACATCATACACTATGCTAATCTAGGCTCCGAGGACTTCTCCTGTTAAGTTACTGTTGTGACCACGCAGAATAAATATATATAAGATCGATAATTTCATATTCTGGAAAAGTATTCTTGAAATAATCGAAGTGCAGAGTAGCTCATTAGTTCGATGTGAAACTAAGTCTGAGTCTGGATTATATGAGCGATTAGTAAAAATGGGTTAATTGATCTTAAGGACTTAGAGCCAGCCGGTGCGTGCAGTGATGTACATAGTAGCATAGCATGCATAGGTCAGAAGTTTAGCAGGTAGCAGCGGAAGCACGATAGATCGTGCGGTTCAGTAAGGAAGGCCAGGGCGACCTGAGACAATACATCTCAATTGTTTAATTTGAGACTTTAGGGCTAGGCCTGATTCGTCTTTTACTGTTTCAGTATAATTGGCGACTTGGGTTGTTAGAGTAAAGGCGTGTTCGGATGATGGGCCCCGCAAGTCACGATGATGCTTGCAAATGTTGATCGCAATAATATAAACCTGCGGCAGTAAGGCTGAACATGGGATTTGCTCAATCCTGCCTCTATGAAGAAACATGGTAGGGATGTTTGTGACAGTTGAAACAAGCAGAGCGACGACGGTTTCCACGCCAAGAGCAATCTAATAGAGGCGAGGATACTGACAAACAGGAATTATTATGAATGTAAATACAAATATCTGCCCAACGGGTTGAAATTTCCATCATGATAGAACTTATATAACAGATAAGAAAGATTTAGAACAAAATATGAACTCATGTCGGGCAGTCATCTTAAATTGACTTTCCAAGGTCTATTAAGGATAAAATAATGCTGATAATTATGCAATTGATGACCGAAAACATAAGGCTCTGCAGGAGCAGGCATGACCAAGGAAAGCGCGAATAAGCCGACAGGAAGTCCATTGGTGAGTTGATGCTTATGGAATCATAGAGTAATTAGTAGGCATGACGTACCGCCAATGATTTCCATAAGGTAGATTGACGAAAAG